TGAGATCGTAACCAACGAAAATGTGCGACTATTAATGAGCAAAGGGAATGCCATAAAATGAACGAGAAACGCACCAAATAAAAAAAAAAATATTAATCACTCAATAGTTTTACTTCAATAGAGTGAAAAAATAGTAATCCTGTACACAATACGGGTAAAAAAATGTTAAAGACATAATCCATAATATACTTAACATGTTCATTATTGTTAATAATTGGATTTTTTCATGAGAAATAAAGAAGTTACCGAGTATTTAGATTATTTACATAGTAGATATGTCATTACTCCCGCCGATAAAGCAGTTAACATTTAATTTGTAATATATATTACAATTTTATGTAAATAACTAGGGTTTAATTCAAAAAACATATAAACACATTACGGTGCTAAGAAACTCTGGTGTACATTATGTTCAATTTTATGTAATACCTGAACTATTTCGAGTTCCCATACTACATAAAATATCATGCAAGTACGATTTGTCAATTTTAACATGTAATACTGCAATTTTATCAAAGATCCAATACGGATCCGTTTACTATCATCAGTGATTCCACTGAATGCAAGGATAAAATTAAAGGCTTTAGCGCTAAAACAATAGTAACATTTGATTCCAGTTATCTTTACAATAGTCTTCCAATTAACTAAAGTATTCGTTCATGAACAATTTTGAGGTATTTTAATATGTCTGTTAAACTAATGCTTCACGTCACTATGACAAAGAGACTCAAAAATTATCACCGTTTCATATTAAAGAAATTATCGCAGGCCACGTATCCTTTGCTTGACAAGATACTTGTGCAATTTGGCTAACGCACCTTCGAACAAGTACAAGAAATTTTAATTGGGGATAACTTCAGGCCATAAGTTGCATCCTTACATTTGTTCAAACTTGAATTTTCCTACAATACAAATCTCGGTAAGAAAGCCCGTAGTAAAGCTTTGCATATCAGTCTCGCTTGCAAATAGATATATTGATGCTATTACTATACCTAATTATCTTTTTAAAAACACAACCGAACAAATATATCCACCAGAACTCATCCTGGAAAAAAAGCTCTTTCCATACGAACAAACGAAACTACTCGAGTTTAGGTATTAGCATCATAAATCAAACACTCAAGTTAAGTTTTCAATAAAACTGTCATTTTCAATTAATAAACCTTTCATTTCCAATTATGAATATTCAGAATAAGTTATGTTTCCTATTCGCAGCTTATAATGTAGGACAAATATTGTACCTAATAAGACTTTGTGGACAGAGCTCGTAAACACAAGTTTTTCTCTTGTGTTAAAAGTTTTTCAATTTTGTGAAAATTTCAATAATGTTTTTATTAATTCTCGATTTAGGCGTTTTATACAATATCACGATCTCTTAAAAAATTTCACTTATTTGGAAATTGCATGATGTAATATTTCATCGTCGTAGTATATTGTACACCAGTAATTTTACCTCCTAGACAGTTAGTACTAGCTATGTAACAGTCCCGTATATGGTATAACATTACGTCATTAAGTTAAAGTAAACCTTAAAAATTAATGTATTCCCCACACGCGTGGTACTTTAACTTCCCTTTCCAAGCTCTATCATTATTACCAAACTTTCTCGAATCTCGTAGCGTTTACCTCTCGACTTCATTACTTCCTGTTGTCCACTCTTTGTGTGTTGTTAAGTGACAAGAGTTAAAGTTGTGTTGTGTTAGACACACCTCGTAGTATGTTGAACATACTGTTTTTTATTACATTTAACATCGTTATATTTCAATTAGAGTATCATTATTCTAGGTATTAATTCAGCTGATCATTTTATATTTTAGTAAACATAACAATGTTTTGGGGCAACATGGGACCTATTGGTCCATCTCGACTGTCCCATCTTCTAAACTATTAATAAATAAATAATAAAAACTTTTTTAAAGCCAGCCCTTATCATTCATATATTATCAAGTTTTCTCTTAAACCCACTTAAAGTTACTACCTCCACAACATCTGAAGGCAACCCATTCCAAAGGCCAACCACCCTGT